TTATGTAATCACGTAAAGATTGAGCTGCCTAATTTTGACAAATCAAAATGTCCACATAATTTTGGTCGTTGACTGTACATCCGGAACTACACGAAAATCGAATAAAATTGTATACATGTTAAAAATCATGAGCCAATGTGGCAAGAAATTATTAATTCTTGCATACGTAAGTTTGCTAACTCAGAAATAAATTAATATTAACCTTAGTAAAGCTCCGCCGAAAATTTATGTCGTCATCGTGGAACGAAAAAAGCGGGTATTAGTTTGTCAACCCAAAAGTATTTCATTGCAAAGTTCGTCTTCTTTTAAGCGAGCCCATAACGTTTTTACGGATGGTCGGATACATCTTTTTTTTAAAAAAATTTTTATGTTATAACAAGAAATAATTTTTTGTAAACAAAATCATATGCAAATAAAAGAAATTAATTGTAGATAATATATAGAACATTTGTCTAACGTCTCGTATTTTATCCCCAATACAAACTAATTTTAATGAAAATTCCTTACCTGCCAAGCAAAATTTGCATCAAAAAAGGTCCTTATTCTGTATTTTACTGAAAAATTAATTTTTGAGCCATCTGTATCATCGTAGAACCGCCCGCCATCATTGGTAAGTGTCTCCCAATGGTTTACCTCTCAATAAAAGATGATTTTGCTATTCCGCTTCCTATATGTAATGTATTATCACCTTTATCTCTGTACTAGATCAAAAAAGTGCTGATGTATCTCATGACATTGCAAAACTTGGTTATTTGTCTTGACAGGGTATGTATAAGTTGGTATTTTTAATCACAATTTTATATTTCTAACGCAGCAGGGGTGGAAAATTGTTTCGAATTATTTGAAAAACTATGAAAGAAGATTATTGATATATACTGGGTGAATGGGTAAAACGATGTAGATGTATTAAAATGATTTTGATAATAGATGCAGCCTAATTAATCTATAAGAAACATTGAGATATTGACAAAAAGAATAAAACAATAGCAGATCAATTCTGAATGATCATTAAGGGTTGCCTTCAAGAATTATCAAATATTTTTATTATAATGTTTACAGCCTATAGATATAAAAGTTCTAACTCTGCGAGACTTTTAACTCCTATCATCTTACCATCATCTAATTACAAAAGTCTTACTGATATCAATTTTACTCGTGATGAATTAAAAAATATATCGAAAAGTTCTATGACAAATATTTCAAAAATTTAGACGCACTCAACATTTCAGAATTTTATGAATAATTCATATATTAGATTAGTTCATCACATATTGATCTGAATAGAAGAAATAATGAGAAAGCAGACTGATAATAACTAATTGACTTTTCAAAATATATTTACGTATGTGAATTCACAGAGTTTCAATACATCTATTGATAATGAATGTCATGCTATACCTAAAGTTTGCTCATTTTCTGGTGAGCAAAAGAAATTGTGTGATGTTATTTATTCAAATGGAATGTATCCTTTTATAAATACTGATGAGAATATCTGGTATTTAGTTAAAACTGGAGTTCTTATTATTGTCGATAGTCATTTACAGTTTACAGCACCTCTTATTTCACAATTATTCTTTCTGCAATATTATAGGAGTGAAGATCATGCTGAAACTGCGCCTTCATCATTATATGAATTTATTGTGAAAATTTTTAGGGTAATGTGCAAACAAAGTGGCAAAAATTTAAGAAAAAATCTTGGATTTGGACTTGATGGAAATCTTCTAGAACAAACATGATAGAAGGAATTCTATAGAATTAGAATATAAGTATTAGGGTAATAATATTTTTTATTGTGTAATGTTAATGCAATTTTTAGATGCGAGAGATTTATAGACTTTTATGTGAATGAGTTAGACTGGACAATAGAACTCTTGAGAAATGGTAAGGATATGGCTGAGTAAAGTAGGAGATTTGAATATACAGGAGAATATAAAGAGATTATTAAATGTGCAAACAATATAGCTATTATTAATATTTGTAGTAAATCAAAAAAGGTTAAAAACATTAAGAAAGATTTCATACATGTGTCATACTTCAAAGATTATGATGCATTTAAGATAGAGAATTGAGGTAAAGAAACTGTAACTATTAGGTTTCAGAATTAGTTTATTCTTCAATTAGGCAAAGAATATATAATACATTGTTTCTTTTAATGCAAAATGCAATACTAAAGAGAATAGGAATGTATTTTGTTATTAATATTCGAGAATAAGTTATATGCAATGCTTATTTGATACTATTAACATAAAATAAATTACTGAATCAAGTTATTAGTGTATTGAAAGTAATATTTCATTATGCTGTAATAAAAGTCAGCAAACATATTTTAAAGACTTTCATAATTTTAAAAAATTAGTAGTCTTTTATTAATTTTTAAAATTAAAACTGTATATAAAACTCAAAAATTTTCTGTAGATCGACATCATCTATGCATATAGAAATGATCTTCATAAACGTCAAATACTTCTGTACTTATGCGTCAAAAGTTTCAAGCTTCTTTCCTTCCCATGACAAACAACAACTTATATTGACAAGACTAAAAAAAAAATATTGTTTTAGTGACAAACTTATTAACGTTTAATATTTTTTTTATTTTTTTTTATGTTATTTCAAAACACCAACAAGGAAGTGGTATATTTTTTGTTTTTATCGAATAGCAGATGGAGAATTAGCTATTCTTCTCTTATGAACCAATCATATTGATACTTGAGACTGATAAAATTAGTTACAAGGCCTGTCATGCCTCTTCTAATATTTCAATAATCTTGATTTATAAGAATTGCATTTAAAGTTTCAAACCTTTATATTGCATCTAATCAGAAAAAAATTTTTTTTTTTGATTTGGATTTGGCCTTCAAATAGTTTGGCATTTTATCTTTACCTTCACTATGTGTGTGATCTGATTTTGAAATTTTCAAAATCTATCATACAGGTGTGATAGATTCTATCAATTCTCTGCTATACTACTCTTATAGATCAATAATCGTTCTGGCTTCTCGATTCAACAAGCTACTACCATCGTAAGTTGATTTTATTTATTGCTTTCTGATCTTTGGTCTTGTCATATGAGTTATACAATTGTTCTCGTATAATTACTGTAGTTGCAATTATTGTTAATGTAATAGATAAAATATATGTATATTAAATATGTTTCTATGATTTTTTAATTATTATAATGTAAATAAAGTTTCTATTAAAATCTATGATAACGCTGCATCATTAAATAAAATAAAAATAACAGAAACGCTATAGATGTGAACAATAATAAATGTATTTTTTTTCCTCTGAATTAATTTTATTAACTGAATGATACAAATAAAATATTGGAATAAAATCATTACTAAATAGGTAATTACTGTACATTTTGCGTAGAGTTTATATCCGTTATCCGTTAAAAATGAATATCCAGATTGAATGGATATAAAATTTTGGATATCTGAATAATCCAACAGATATCTGATAATACTCGGATATCTGCATTATCCAGATGATATTCGGATATATTCAGATATAGATCATATATCAATCGATTAATATGACATGATTTCACGATGTTTGTTCAACACGCGTTACTGTTCTAACTAAAACAAAAAAATAAAACAAATTTACTTGTAAATATTTAAAATTAAATAAAAAATTTTGAAATTTATAATTCCATTTGTATTTGACCATTGAAAGGATCTATCTTTGAAATTTACTTGATAATTTTTTTTTTGTTTTCGTTGTATGATTTTTTTATTATTTCTTCATATTTATTATAAGTGACCACATACCATGAGAGTTACAAATCAATAAAAAAAATAAAAAGAGTTCTAAAACAAAAATTACAGAAAGAATAAGAAAAGAACAAAAAAAAAGCAAACAAAACAAGAAACATAGAAATAGAAACAGAACACATATTGCAAGATCTACCGCAGGATTTATTACAAGATTCAACTTCAGGTAATTCAAACTTGGTAAACAATACTGAGTGAAGTATTTTGGAGGGAAAAGATGCAAATAATCCACAAGTTCTTATTGATAATGTAGAACAAGAAAGTAGACTGGTAAATTTTTCTAATGATACTAATAATAAACAAAGTTTTATTTAGAATTATCTGAAAAAGTTACCATCTACAGAAAAGTATAAGAAACGTGTCAAGTGTCTTGTCAAAATTTCTGGTCAACCTTACGGATATATAATAAAATCTGATAGTAGTACTGAAAATTTTATTTTTCATTTAGCAAAGTATCGTATTACACGCGATAGTGATTTATCACAGAATAATGAAAATGTTGATGAAACTCAAAATATTTCTGCCAAAAAAAATCGATTAGATAGAAAGTTTGTT